ATGATATAGCACTCATTGTTGCATTGTAGCAACATGCCTTCAATGAAAAAGAAATATGGCGTTAGCTGCAAAGATCCGAAAGGTAAAGAAAAGTGGATCTTCCACGAATCATCTTTATTCACAATCCCACCCGGTGAGTTTCAACTTCCGATGTACAAAAAGCTTTCGAGCACTTCTGAGATATCACAACCAAACAAGAGTGCAAGTAGATGCTCTCGTCGTGCGCTTCCGGCGAACGATTGTTGAGTCATTCACATACTGCTTATTGTAATATATATATATATATGTGATAATAAGTAGTATGTGAATGACTAGACAAAATTTCCCTGGAAGCACTACTACTGCTTATTATCAAATATTCCACCAAGACCATCAGGTCACGTTTGTTGCGGTTAGTAGCATCTAACCCACTTACAAAACATCGAATCATAGCATTGATTCTTTATTGGACTGGCTCTGAAAGAGATGTCTATGCAATGGTCACCCGGCGTTGCAAACAAGGTTACTGTGACGATATATATATATATATACTAAAGTTTGATACATTAGGTATTAGAGGAAGTACAAAGTACAAGGACGAAAAGTCACCACAAACCATAATCTTCTCCAACATCTGACGGTAAGGCGCTTTTAGGACCAAACTGAATTTTTTTCAAGTATTTTGTATCTAAACGAACAAATCCATAGAATAAATTAATCTAGAGCTATGAAAGCACCTTAGATGTCCAGAAACACGTAAATTGTTTACCAACTGCGTGTGTTTCTGCTCCAACAGCAAAGCAAGAGGATGAAGTTAAACTATCGTTTTGGGAGAAATTGGATATATGCAAACTGACGAAACGCTTAATGGAACCCAATAAAAGCAGATCCATTACGGACTTATGAAGGCAATCATTCGATATTTCATCCCATAAAAAGTAACAGTATTTACTTCCCTTGGCAAACACAGTAAAACAGACATTTCTAAACAAACACAGCTATCCTTATCCAGGTTATTGGTTTCCAGTGAGTTACCAATGCATTCGTATGAGGTCAAAAAGAATACAGAACAAGGAAATGGACACCTTTAGGGGAAACGAAAACGGTTCAGAGTTAATCTATACAATGTTGGGATATCTGGTCTGTTATGGGCGGATGAACAAACATATGCTAAATCAAAAGTCATCACCGTGATTGACAAACAGACAGAAACGTTGAAAAACACCGTCGCTTTCAGTTAGGGGCACTGGGGAACCACAAGCTTAGTGAAGTGTAACTTACGCAATCACGAAATCATTACGTGCATGACACGCTATGCTATATTTAATTATCTTTTGAGCTTCACTGCGATCACATATGAGTGAACAAGCCAAATATTTTAGTTTTAGGACGAAAATACTCGTAAATGAAACCGTATCTGTAATTAATTGTTTTCAGTTTTATGAAAAAAACCACGGCAAATATTTGTAGAAAAAGAAAACCAACTTCCATGGGGAAAGTAGTAGGGTTCATTCAGGAATGCGTTCATGAAAACGAGTAGAAGTCTGTCTGCCCTACCTACGCAATGTTGGTTACTACATCGATACATTAGTTTATTACACACCTAAGCTTGATGAACGGTAGACGGGACGAACCTAATAGTCACGAGGACCTTTGTTCAGTGGTGGAAACCGGCAACCTAAGCCCCGGGAATCGGAGTGGTGAACCACATAAGGTCCCGGATACGTTAGGCGTGGTATCGAACCGGACGACAGCAGAGCTGTCTACCACCAAAGTCGGGTGGCGGTGGTGGGGCTCGAACCTCGAATCATAGGATTCAATCACGCCGGTGGCAGTGACTAAAACACTGAGCCAACAACAAATTGTGTACACCACCCATGACCCGCGTCAATAAAAGGATAAACAAATGCAAAAAAAGTGTATTGAGAAACAAACGAAAAACATTTTTGTTCTTAATTGGTCCTGTGGTTCTACATGGTCCTTTGTGAGTCACAGTAATATTCACATAGCCGGGGGTGGGTGTCTAGGGTTGCGACTGGTCACTCTCCCCTTGCACTAGCGAAATGCTCCCATACGACCAAGCGTCTCGAACAGCCTATGCTGAGGATGCCTAACTGACTGCCTTCCCGTGGTGGTGTTTTCCCACCAAACTGAGAGGACGAAAAGCAGAAATCCGGGTTGGTGGAGCACTGATAGTTCACCTAGGGGAGTTTCCCAAAAAAAACCCTGATTCGAAACCAACAAGGAGGAGGGGCATGAACCACACACACACACACACCTTAGCGGTTGTGGTAGTGATCACTGGCTTAATTGGGCACCTTGGATGTTTGACCCCGACCAAAGGACGTATGATCCGATGAACTGGACACCGGCTCCCAATGGACTGCAGTTTCCACAGACCGCCCCGAGGCCTTGCGGGTCAGGCTTTGACTAGTCGAAGGCTCCCGTTGTGGATTTTTCAAGAAAATTCACCTACCTTGGCCTGAGTAACCTGGTAGTATTCAGCCTACATGCAAATCATGAAACGCTTTGCCTTTTTCTAAAGATTGTTGTACCATAATTTGTTCGGCACAGTCTGGCGTCAGAAGTGTTTGATATATATATATATATATATATATATATATATATATATATATGGTGAACGATGTAACTGGTGGCTTCTGATGCACTGCTCTCGGGCGTGTTGGAAAATGAGAAAATGAAAGAATTACAAGTCAAAGCATTTGAGAAATATCGTTCACCTCTAAGGATATCATGTATTTAGACAACATCAGAAGGCTGACTGATCAAATACTCCTCACAGTTTATAGGTTGTAGTCAGCCTATAAAGGTTGCCAGCACACCGACTTGGAGACGAGGGATCGGGATCTCACCGCCGTCGTTTTGTGTCACTACGCAGTGCCCGAATGGCTGAAGGGCATCCAAGTCCTGCCAAAATTTTCCCGTTCGATGTGGAAAAGATTCCGTTCGAGTAAGTGCATGAAACGTTTTGTGGAGAGCAAGTCTTCAAAATGCGCGGCACGTTGTAATTGCTCCTAACACCGACGTTCAAAGATCTCCGTCAAGCTCAATGAACTAGCAACCGTTTTGAGCAAGTCTAAGGATGCATGAATTTGCACGCACAAAGATACGCGAATCGGGTGGAGTTGCAAAAGATCACGCGCGACCAATGACTCACGAAAATTTGAAGGTATGTGTTCGGGAGAAAATACCACGCTTCGATTTGACCGGTTTTGCAGCTGACGACTTTTCCAGACTGTGAAACACGCGTGTAGGTGACAGAAAAATAGAAAGTAGTAAATGGAGAACACTCGTTTACATACACATAGAAAAACGAAAATATGAACCGCAATTATGATAAAAAACCATAAACTATAGGAGAAAGAGAAAGCAATAGAGAACGACATTACAAATATTCACAAAGCGCACTAATGAAATATATATATATATATATATATATACGGCGAAAGGGCAATCGCTTTGCGTATATTCCAAGAGATCCTAATTGTAAACGAGAAGAAACATTCATTAGCAAAAGAGAATTCAGGCCATCTCTTTTAGTAAGTGCCGTTTAATTAGAAGACCGCTGTGAATAAGCAACAATAACGACTGCTTAGAAAAAAGTGAATCAAGGCAAAATTAAAAACCCAAAAGAGACTGAAAAGTCGAATTCAAAGAGAAAAGTCACACGAGGATTGTCATCAAGACAAGCGAATATGTAAAGACCACCAAAGAAGAATGTTTCGGTGAATCAGGGCACTAGGAAAGTATAAACAGAGAAAAGGTGATCCTCGACAAACAATTAAAATACTTATTCAGAGTAAGTTGGATGTTTAGGGATACAAATTTCTGTTTGAAATGAGCTAATAAGAACATACATTTTGTACCCAGAATGAAACTCAGTCGATTATGCATCAAACAAATACAATCAATGATGCATTTGCGAGTATTTCTCTATTCGATAAAACCAAGGTTTACGGAGAATGGCTTTATCCTGAAGGGGGAAAGTAGACCAGTGTGAGGGCGTCGGTAGGGATTAATTCTTCTCCCAATTTGTATGACGGCACTTGGGGCAAGTTTGCGAAAATCACGATCATCAATATACAAGGAACCTGGTTGTCCTGACCGTCTTTTATGGATTCATTGAAGATAACAGTCGATACGGGAAGTACACTCGAGAGAAAAACAAGAGAAAGTGACTAAAAGCTTCTGAATAACGTTCATTTTTGTTGCCCACCCAACA